TTGTTTATTATTATCCCAAGCTATCATCAACTTCATAAATGCAGCAAAATTATTTATGATAGCTGACGATGACGCGATTCAACGACTTTTCTACAGTAGTTGTTGCTTTTTTTTTCTTCCTCATTCAGATATTACTATCATTATTGTTATTATAACTACTATTATGATTGTTGTTTTTTTTCCTTATCCTCAATGTACTCTAAACATTTTTATTACTCCTATCGTAGAATACACCAGTGGAAGTAATTCACGAGTATTTCGGATTTTCGACGATCCCCTTATAGAACTTTAAACTTCACACTACCCACTCTCTTCCTCTCTTGACTTTATTTCTCATCTTTCTCACTCACTATTTTGTCTCTCGGTTCCGCGTGTTATTAGTGGATTTCCAAGATTAATTATCATCGTAAATAACATGAAGAAGACGAAAAAGAGGGATAAAACTCATCCCTATAAGGAGTATAAAAAAGATAAACAAGTTATCATCAATATACAAAGATAAAAATATGATTATTTAGGTAAAAGACTATATTAAGACATTACGTAGCAAGTTCATGATAATCATGGGTGTGTGGGGGGAGGGGTGGTTTTCACCCCTTCTGACAAGAGGATGGATCCGTTACTGTCAAACAGTGGCCGTCGTCTCGGCAGCTTCTACTCGAGCGCCTTGAACACGTGAATCAATAGCATTAGCCCATTCCACCCCATCAAACGAGGGGTGGTTAAGGGGGGTACGAAGAAGACACAGTCTAACAGAGAAGAGCGGGTATAAAGGGGTAGCAATAGTAACAATCCTGAGGTATTTAGCCGCTTGCTTCTCTCAACCCCTTGGACAGAGGGAGCCAAGATACCGCTAAGACCGTCCGCTGCACCCCACCGCAAACCCACCCTTCTCCCTCAAACTCAAGCCGTTTCTACTCGCAAATGTATCGTAGTGTTCTCCTACATTACTATCGTACATGTGCACGCCGGACCTAACGGGTGATACTCCGAATTCACTGCCAAATATTCACTTGAATTCATAGCAACCAAACTAAATTTATTTGCCTTATTGCTTTGTTTAGATAAATATTAATAATCCAACTCCATATCATATAACCTATTCAAACTTTTAAACTCATGACCGACTGACTTACATTCCATTAAAACACATTTATTTTATTGTGATAAAACAGAATTTTCTTTTTCATTTTACCTAGTTTTTTTTTCACTTTTATTTATTGTTTGTTTACGTTTATAAAAAAAGTTATTTTGTTAAAAAAAAATTATTTGACTTGATGATTTATTTTTTTTTGAATCTCTGTAATGAATTTTAATTTTTTCGATAATATTGCTTAATGAGAAATAAAAATATTTTTTACTTCTAAAATTATTTTAAATTTATATATTTTATTTATTATTAAAGATTAAATGACGAATTAATAGTACATTTTAAAATAATATTTTAAAAGTATTATTATTTTAAAATATATTTTATATAAATAATTATAAACAATTTTGCTAAAAAAAGATTAATTTAAAAATCTTGATGAAATGTATTATTAATCATTTTTGAAATACTTTAAATTATTATTGCTTCTAATTTGAACCAAAATAAATAAAAAAAAGGATTGCAATAACGATATTTTTAATTAAAAAACAAGAAAAAAGAATAATCTATACACATATCAAGGACAAAAACAATCTCCCTTGACAACAGAAATCCCAGATAATTAAAAAAAAGTTCAACTTAAGAAATTTTTCTCAAAAAAATTTTTTCTTCTTACATAAGACACAAAAAAAAAGTAATGCAGAAGAAAAAAAAGTTGATGAAGACGTGAGGTAGTTTTATGGTGTCGTTTGTGTTGTGGGAGGATTTTTAGTGAAGAAGACCACCCAGTAGGGACTAAGAGATGATGATGAGTATATGTGTTTGTGAAAGGACTTGGAAGCAGCACACAAATGATGTGCGGAACTGTATACGCAAAATCAATGCCTGGCTTAGCCGCTGATTGTACTGTAATGTCGGTAGTATCCTCTACGTCTTGGCTTTGTTGGACTTCTCTCTGCCTCTTACTCCTCAGTTGGACTATAGCAAGAGGTCTCTTCCTAAAACCGGACGTCTATGAACGCCCTACTCTACTGCTTCCTCTCTACCTTCTTCCGTCCCTCAGCAAGCCACCAACTTACAGCTCCGAATACCATTTGATCCTTCACTGAGAAATAAGACGCGGACTTGCCAAGACCATTAACCAAAAGCTCTCGTCGTTATAAAAATTCAATAGATCTTTTATTACGTTAATTATTTCATCTCTGTCATTTTCAACTTTTGATAAATGAATTTAAGCTCGTAAATGAGCTGAAAAAAGTTTAATGAAAAAAATACTAAATAAAATAATAATAATAATAATCTGACTGATGCTTTCCAAGTGAAAGATCAACGACATCCGGATGTGGATTGTGGTCTGTGCAGTTCATGCATCAGCGCTTTTGCATCAATTTAAATTTCGTCGGCAATCAGATAAAACCAAAGAAAATATTAAGCGATGGATGTAATCTCCATATATATATATATATATATATATATATATATATGTATGTGTTCTATGAATATGTTCTAAAGTTACTAACAAAACACGCGAGAATTAGATTTTTGAGTCACGCACACAAGGGTATATAAAATCACACTTGATCATCATGGAAAATAAAAATCGTTAAAAAGTGGCACGAGGTAATATAATTTCTGATGTAAACAAAAATGTGAATTTATAGTAGATTAACCCTCCTTATCGTTGTGTATTATCCTACTGGAAATATAGGCCATATACTCTTCCGAAAAAACGAAAAAAAAAACCCTCCTAAATATTATTAATCTTTTTTAGAGATAAAATATATTTTTAAATTGATAATAATGAACTATAAAAGAAATTTTATTCTGTTAGTCTATTTTTTATGGATGAATAATTTATTTTACTAAATTATTTGTTTTCATGATGAAAAAATTGATATCATTTTTTGCCATAATTGATTGATATTTATCTATTAAAGAGTTTTGATTTATTTTTCAAATAAAAAGCTCAAATTTTCTTATGCTTGGAAAAATAATAATGAATTAGTAACTTACTTTTTAAATGAATAACCACTGTCCGTTGCTTCATTTTAACCTCATTAAAATCCCGAAACAAAATCAGAGAATTATTTATTTAAATTTTTAATTATAATTGTCTAATGAATACATATCTAACTTTAATTATATTCAATCAATGATTGTTTCCATACTATATGTTGATGTTGATGGTTTAATAAAATTAATAATATAAAATTTGAGAAAGAAAAAAATAAAATCACTACGATTATGTAAAGAGATAATTAATATTTGTTTAAAAAAGTGATGTAAAAATGAATATTTAATCAATTTCAATAATTTTCCATTAAGTAATGAAAACTTTTAATAATTATTCCATATTAATAAACACAAGTGTCTTATTTATATTGACCTATATCTGTGTGCAAATAACTCGAAAGTAAATAAGTGTTTTAGATAGGTATAATCTGTTGGTCGACTTTCATTTTAATTAGAGCCATTTATAATACAAACAGATTGATTGCTAGGAGAAATCCGCGTGTCGGCTCGTAAGTAGTTAAATACATTGAAGATGCCATCGACACGCGAGTTCACTCAAGTAGTATCATCGACTTATTTCCATCAGCTTGTGGTTGAGTTTTACGTAATTCGATATGCGGTATGTTTTCTATTGAAAATTTCACTTGTCTTGAAACACAATGGCACATAAGGGTAGGAAACAAGAGAAAGGAAAAAAAGGAGAATTTAAACAAGAGCCATCTATCTATATACAGTAGGCATAATTGTGCTTCTAAAATGCTTTAATCGAAACAAAGAAGGTGGAAGTGTTTGAGTCGAGTGGACGAAGCAGTGAAGGCTAATCTCGAAGCACGTAGGAATCTAGGAGGTACTTTTAGGCCCTTGGTACTACTCTCGAGGTGGCTCTTCTTACGTTAGGGTCCAGTCGGTGGCTCTCGAGCGTCAAGAGGAGACGATAGGGTGGTAGTAGCTCTTCTGAGTACTTTAGGGCCGTACATAGACGCTCGATGTGCTGTACATTTAAAGCACATCATATCCAGAAGGGTGTCTCTCGCGTGTGTTGGACGTCGACTTGATTGTAAGAGTGTACGTGTGAGCCCGGGATTGTCGATGGAGTATACAGGCGGCAAGGAGTAAAAGACGCAGAGAAGCAAGAAAAGAGAAGAAGAAGAAGACGGGTTCTATACTCGAAGAGGCAAAGAGGGTAGGCTGCTGCTGCTGCTTGGCATGAGGAGCGTTCATCAGCCCCGAGGTTTTAAATACGAGCCGCGAGGAAGGGAACTAAGGAAGAAACCACCCCTCGCATCGCCACCACCCTCGCAAGCTATCCAAGCTACACCACCCCTCACCAGTGACGGATTGATTAAAAATATAAGGGGCGAAAGTAACGCCGGGCTCCAACAACTAAAAGAGAGAAAGAGAGAGAGAGAGTCAAGAAAATTATTCTTACAGACTACTTTGGAATATTTCGGATAGTATCTGATTTTTTTTTCAAGAGTCAATTTTTACCCGGACAATAAAATAGGGATAGACTAACGGTTTGGGATATAAAACCGGTGAGGGATGATCGAGTCGTGTTGAAGAAAGGGGTAGTGGAGTTTTGGATGGAATGTTTCGAGTAATTATCTGAAACGGACGTGAGTGGAAACAAAGGAAAGAATAAATAATAGCCTTCAGAGTACCGAGTTTGAAGAGAGGGTAAAATAGAACAAGGGTTGGTTAAGACCCTGAATTTGAAAGAAGAATATAAGAAAAAAAAAGAGGCTAATACTTGCACATACTTTATTCTTGATATGCGTGATGCAACTGGGTCTTTCTGTTTTTTATATATTTTTTTATATAGACCAAGAAGAGCTACTGTGTACCTATATAACCCCGAAATATGTATATGACGAGTGGTAGGTAAGTATAATCGTACTTTATGCAGCGTCAGTCCCGAAGCATCCCTTTCATTGTCACATGAATTCTCCCCAGTAGGATTTCTTGGTCTTTCTTTTACGAGCGATAACCCAGAGCAGCAGCTCCGTTGGTGTGTCTCGTCGTCTCCCTTCAGTCTGTAATATTGAAACGAAAAGTTAGACGTCAGCCATCAGAGAGACAATGGATCTTGTCGTGCGATAAATTAGTTAAAAAAAAAGGAGATATGTTGATAATCTGGATAAATCCTTAGGGTTGTAAGGTGTGTGTGTTACCCCATGTAACTAAAAAGATAGCTGATGGTTGACTACTTTCTCTCTTTCTTATTCTCGGCCATTCTACTTACAAGGGCTCCGTGCGTAGTTTTAAATAGTCTTCTAGAAGGGTGAGCGTGTTCTCCGAGGTCGTTGAGGGTTGAAGAGGGTGTGCTCGCGAACATAGATGCTATAGTGGCCCGGGGTGGACTGCTCATCCTGCATCCAAGGGAGAATAAAACGAAAAAGGCGGAAGAAGAAGTGGAGAAGGAAGAGAAAGAAGAATAACAAGAAACTGAAGAAGAAGAAGAAGAAGGTGGCAGTGGGTTTGGAAAAGACTAGGACGAGATGGTTAGGGGCTAAAGGGGGTGACGGCCGTCGGAGATAAGACGCAAACGAACCCCCTTTCGCGTGTCTCGATCGATAGCTCCACGCGGAAAATTCGAAAGTAAGATGCAATTAAACAGCGAGCGAGGGTAAGCAAGAAAAGGGGTGAGTTTTCCAGTTCCAGCAACAGAAGAGAAACTCCCTCCAACATTTTCTCCTTCGACTCGTCGTCCACCACTCTGCAGTCGTCCCATCCTCCCTCTTTTTGTCGGTGCTAAGGGAAGCAACCCTTTTTCTCAACTCATACCCACCCTCAACATCCCCCCGGCTCCTTCTAGTATTTATATTGAGCGTCTTAAAGCATTTCCCTTTCCACCTCAAGCACGAGAGAGAGTACTGCTCTCTCCAACCCTCACTCACTTCGTCAGAGAGCTTCAACGCGAGAAAGAGATGCAAAGAACCTCGTGACGTCACTTTAAATACTCTTTTCGAGGGAGGTGGAGAACGCCGCTGGATCTAAGGGAATTGGTAGTCCCCGTGTTCGAGAACACCGACTCACCCTACTCATTCCACTCTACCTATCCTCTGCCTTTCTTCTTCTTTCTAAGACACTGCTGACTTCACTTTCTTCTTCATCTTCTTATTCTTATTCTTCTTCATCCAGCTTTTCCTTATACCTTATCTATATATGTATATGTATGTATATACATCTCTCTCTCTCTCTCTCTCTCTATATATATATTTTACTATACCTTGTACCATCACTGCACTCTTTTTCCTTATACTCTTTCCCAATCTACTTTCCCTTCTTTGTCTCAAGATATCTATATAACTGTCAACGTTATCTAACGACGCTACGAGAATTAGTAAATGCTCCAACAGTCCAACACTTTTTATTTTTACCAAGCAAAAAATTTATTTACTTTTCTGCTTCACTATCTCCAACGCCGACACCTAATTGACACGTTTCAGCTGATAATTTTACCCTTAATTAAATTCAATCGTCACCACGTTCAGTCATAATTGTATTATATTTGTGTATGACGACCTTTACTCACACACATTCTTGTTATTTCAATGAGAAAAATTTCATTCCAATGGTTTGAATTGAAAATAAAGAATATACTCAATACCCTTCTTCCTTTAAATATTAATAACAAACCACTGATTAAATCATTTTACTAATAATAATAAATAAACATATTTAATTTAAAATTTAATTAATAATGATATAATTTTTTTTAAAAATTTTTTTCAATATATTAGTCTTTCGTAATAAAGTATTACATCATAATAATTGATTTGATTTAAAAAAAAAATTAATTGATAAATGTTTTAATAACAATCAAACACGAGTTTATTGAATTCTCTACCAATAATAAAAACGCTACTATATCAGTTTTATCCTCTTCATACAATGAACTTTTTATACTCGAATAATACTCTCATGCTCTTTACACAATCACTTGAATGCATCTGACTAGTAATTTGCATTACTGCATGACCAGCAAAGTGATTGTCTTACACATGTCGAATAATCGACGAGAATCGAATCCCATCAAAATATCAACAGCAGATTTTCAAGATGACAGTGCAAGTGATGTTAATTAATGAAGACGAGTAAAAGGGGAAATTTAATGAGGCTCCCACATAAAAGATAAAAGTACATGGCATAAGGACAGAGTGCTCGATGATCGGTTATATTGCATAACAGAGTCAACTTTGAGGAAAGGGCGCTCGGTTCAATTCGATGCAAATAACTCGTTTGCGAGATACGTACTCGTCTAATGCCACGAGCGTTATGTCTTAGATCATTTGGGAATTAGCGATTCGATCAATTATTCGAATTATACGTCCTGTGGACCACGATGTGAACCAAAGTCCTCATCACGACTGTGGGAATTTATTTTTTCACGACATTTCAAAATCACTATCAATCACAACCTCAACATTTGAAAATAACTACAATTCGATTGATCGTTATAAGAGACTATGTCAAAATTCAATTACATGAAAAGCATCAATACAATTTTATTTATCCATTTTCAAGCTAAAAACCACAAGTTATTTCCTCCCACAAGTGAACCAATTGATGCTGTAAAAAATCTTTTATAGAGAGGATGAAAAAAAAAATACGAGCATTTTGTCGGCTCGACCGTGAAGAAGGGACTCGTTGAAAGTCACTGAGGGCAAAAGGATAAGAAATGCATGCCTGAAAGAAGATGAAGAAGAAGAGGAATATAAAAATAAAAAAGCCGGACGTCGGTCAGTGGATGCACGTATGCGAGCATAGGCTTCGCGAGAGTATTATACGAACTGATCTTCGTACCCCATGGCGCGGAACAGCGTTCGATCGAGCGGAACTACCAGTCACCTGCTCGCTTCCGGCACGCTCTCCCCCGCGCTCTCTTTCACATCCTACTCGCGAGACTATCCCACCTGCCGAGACAGTTACGGACTGAGATCTTCGACCGGACGACACACCGGATTTCAACGTATACGTTCCAATCTACTTATCAGAACTGGTGAAAAACATTTACTATTTTTTTGTCACTTATGAATTTAGTTCAGTTATGTACTTTATGTCTAAATATAAAGACTCGCTTTGATTGCACATAATTGTTAGACTTATTCATGTAGAAACATTTGTTTTATTGCAGTTTGTTTCCTGCTATTATAAAATTTGATCTATAATTGGTTTAATTAAGAATTCGAGATTTTTTCTTTATTGAAATATAGTTTCAGAGCTAATGATACTATTATTTCTACCAGTAAAAGATGATTCATGAAACAATAACATTTAAATAAAATAAATTTACTTAAATAATTGGTAATAATTTAATGTTGAAAAAAATATGTAATATTGAAATTTTTTAATATCATTCTTTGTTTCTTAAAATTAATAAAATATTGAACAATAAGTTTTTGAATTTACGAATGGTTTCTTATTTATTTATTATTAATAAATTTTCATTATTTTCAAAATTTAATTTTTTTTAAATTATTATGAATAATTGGCTTGAGTTGGCACAAAATAATTATAATCGTAGTTAGGTTTAATAGGAGAAAGTATTTTTTATTTAATGAAGAATAATGTGTATTTTAACTTGTTCACCAATTGACATACAAGTATGTAATTGTACAGCATTTGCAAAAAGTAACCGTACACTTTTGAACGTTGCTGTATAATGTACTTAATAGAAGAACAAATTAAACATGACTTTGAGCACTCATAACTCTTCGAGGAATTATCCGAGAACCTTTTGATAGGGGCTCAAAATACACGAAGGTTAATTTATGTCATGTTCGTAGTAATATTCAACATATACATTATTTGTATTAATGATCAACTATACAAATAAATTTCAATCGATTTAAAATTGAATAGTAAAAATGATTGGAAATAATAGTTGGGTGGTAAATATTCACTGAATTTGCAATGATATTCACTGAAGATATCAACGTGATTCAAAAATCTAGAATAAAAAAAATATTATTCATTTTTCCATTCCATCAGTTTACATTTCCTACTTAATTTCAATTTCCTTTATTGAATTCAAAAAATAAAATCCATATTTTTTATTTCTATGTGATTTTATGTCAAGACATGAGTTTTAAAATAATTTCAATAATGAGATCATATTTTTCGCGAGCAAAAGAAGTGACTTTAATCCAGAAACTAAAGTAAACTGTGTCGCTGGTAGAAAAAGTTGGGTCAATTTCGATCCAGTAATTCTCATAATAATCTCACACAAATTCACACTCATATGTACTGTAATAAGTAAAATGAAATAAGAATACATTGAATGTAATTGTTCAATTATTATGACCAAAAAGTATACAATAATTGTTTCAAACTTGATATTTCTCAAACTCTGAATATCACTTTTAAAAAAATAACAAAATTAAAACTAATTATTTAATAGAAATTAAAATTTAATTAATTTAATTATCAATATTGAATTTCACTCAGTCATCAATTTAAGAAGTTACTTTCATATATTATAAATGGAAATTTTTTATTCGAAATTCTTGTCGAAAAAAAAACGTGATTGCTTTTTTTTATAAATTACATTTCGATCACTGGAGTCATTATATATCCAGTACATAATACTTTACATGTCAATAAAAAATCTCAATTCATGTTATTATTCATAATAAATAATTTAAAGCAGAAAAATAGTAGAGTAGAAAAATTGAAATATTTTTATTCAACCTTAAAATAAGGATTAAAACCGTGAAATGAATGTTTGATATTACTTTTGGTAGATACTGTATATGCATTTCAGTATCCAGTTTTATGAAGACAATTATACTTAAATATCTTTGAAAATGAGGACACGGCCACGAGTGTGAGTATCGAATTTTCCTACCTACTCGAGTTACTCGGGCGTTACTCAAGATCGGGCGATATGAATGTTTATTAGTCTTATAATTGACTGGTTTGCTCGATGAATCAGCGAAAATCATAAAAAGAAAACATGTAACATTCGATAACAATTGTATACAATATATCCTATACTTGTATCAAATTATTTGTTTCACATTTTTTTCTT